CTGTGGCAGCACATGGCCACAGGCCTGGGGACCACCAGCCCTGGGCACTGACCAGCTAAAGTCTCACCTGAGAGAAAACAGCAGAAAATTGATAGGCCTATAGGAGACCCTTGACTTCAAGTCCCTGTTACCTTTTCAGGTTGAAGTGTAACTCTCAGATCTCAGGTCTATGGCTGGTAGGTTTCTACAAAGCTATACACTTCTGAAGCCATCACTCAGCTCAAGCCATAGAACATCAGCATCCCAGAAGCTCCTTGAGGTCCCTCCCAACAAAGCTTTAACAGTTATTACCCGTTACCAAAGGTCTGGCAGTTCTTGGTGCCAGTTTTCTAAAAGACATTTTTTTTATCAGAATCAGTTCTGGGAAAGTGATGAGTCTCTAGAGGCCTTTGTTAGGCCCCTAAACTTGATATTAGAATTGACACTGTTTAGGGTGGGTGCCTCAGAGCCTCACATGACTTGTGAACCTCAGGACCTTGGACAAGGCTAGCCGGAGACAAAGACCCCTGAGGCCTGCCTGAGGGCCCAGAAGAGCAGATCTGTCATTCAAGGAGTCACTATTGAATGCCCTGGGCCCAGTCAGCCTGGGAAGGGAGCCAGTGCTATTGATACAATTCTGTGAGCAGGCGGCCTAAATCTATAGGTGTCCTCTCATCTCCTGGGCCTAGCAGATAGGTCAGCCCCCTCTGGGACTGATATGGGGCTTTCTCTTGCAGCCACCCAAATGCCACATATCTGGGCCAGATGAGTGTGGTTGGGGGGGGTGTGGAGTCAGGGGAAGAGGCCAATCTAAATGGGTTAATTTAACTCATACTTTTGTTTATCTTTGGGGTGTGTTCACATGCTCAACTCACTTGTGGCCATGAGTGCTTAATAGTTGTGGAGATAATAATGAGGGTTCCAGACCCTCCTGCTAGCCCAAGTCAGCAGCCTTCTCTCAGGCTGCCCTCTCCAGCCAGTGGCTAAAGAGTTTGTCTTGCTGAGGCTTAGACTGTAGCAGAGACTGAGAGATAGATGTCAATTAGATTAGCCATGCTCAGGCTGAGCTGACACTGGCAGAGACTTGGAAATGAGGTTATCTCGAGGAGCTGTGTAGCATAGTGGTTGAGGATATGACTCTGAAGGTAGGTGGGTAAGCTCTTCGTGTCCAGCATGTCACACACCAGCTGAGGGCCCTCACTGGAGCTAATGAACTTCTCTGAGGCTATTTCTTCATCTCTAAACTGAAAACAAAAAAGGTAAAAATTCCCACCTCTTAATGTTAATAAAAGAATTCCATGAGATATTTGTAATGCCCATTGCACATGACCCAGCACAGATTCAGTGCTCAGGGAACAACTGGGGAAGACAATATGGGCAACCTGCCTGTACCCAGGTAGCACCTGGCCTGAACTAGGCGGGAGCTTAGGCAGCCCAGAGCTATTTGGTGAAGGGAACTAGTCACAGTGTTGTCAAACCCCAACACACAGAAGCAGCCTTCTGGTCCAGAGAGCATTGTGGGGCTAAGGCCAGATGGGAACCAGGGTATCAGGAGAGGAGGGAGCCAAGGTCACTTGGCTGAGCCTCTGGCTGCCTCCAAGGTGGGAATCCTGCAACCGGGGGTGGGAACTGGGTAGTCCTGCAGCTAAGGCAGTCAGCCCATGTATACTGAGCATCTGCTGTGTGCGAGGGAGTGGGTGGGAAGACACTGAAGAGTGCACCATATGCCAAGGAAAAGGGTGTACACTGTAATAGGCTTGGCATGAAGGGATACCACACCCAGCCAGAACCTACCCATGGACACCTTCCCTTGCATCTGAAATCTGGACTTGGCAGGCAGAAAGAAAAGTAGGTGGTAGGGGTTGGCTGTATGTCTCCATTCTGAATAGCAGACCTGATAACCTGCTGCAGAAAACAAGTCCTCCTCACAAGTGCAGGTGTGGCTCTTTTAAATAAGCCCTGTTGGATAAGGGGGCAGTAGGCAAAGAAGTGGGTGGGAGCAGGGACAGTGCTGGGAGGAATCGGGCAGCAGGGTGCTTTGTGCCCAGCAGGAAGCCTCACACTGGAGATACTGGAGTCTTGCAGGCAGAGAAAGCAGCATCATTAAGGTCAGACTCAGCCTCAGAGACACCACGAGAATTCTGTGTGTATATGAGCCCTAGCAGGCACATGGGCATCACTGGCTGTGAAAGAGGAAATGGATCCCAGGCTCCTCCGGGGAGCAAGGCCAGAGCGGAGCAGTGCAGAGGAAGCCTGCCAAGGGCACCATGCCAGGCAAAAAATGTTGACACTGAAGTGAGCACTTCCTCAACTTTCAATGCCTACCAGAAACCTGGGATCTAAGGGGCATACTCTGATACCACAGTATGACTGTCCAGGGCATTCCCACTTGACAAGTGACAGACCTGAAGAGGTCAGTGCCTGAGAAAAGTTATAAAAGGCAAGAAAGAAGACCTGGCATGAATGTGGAAAGCTGTACAGAGGCCCACCTTGATGAACCATGACAGGATCTCCTTGGCACCTAGCAAGAGGGAGTTGTATGGGTAAAGGAGAGTCTGGGGCTGCATCCCACCCACCCAGCTATGAGCAGCCAGGGAGGGAAGTTTACAGGGCTCCTCAAGGTCCAGCAACACACCATTCTGGGGCATCCTCTGATGCTAGCCTGACCACCTGTCTCATCTGCCCTGATCTATGGAGGTCAGCCTCCAGGGGAGACCAGAGGCCAAGATCACACAAGTGCCATGTCTGATCAATTGACAGTGGTTCCCTGGGGTGCTGTGAGAAAGGACTCTAAGGTCATGCCAGAAAGTCAACTGCAATCAATTATTGATGTCTAACCAGAGCACAGGGCTTGGGAAAGAGGGACAGATTCATGAGGGTCCCATATATTTGTTGTCCTTGTCTTTGTGCTTTTGTGACCAGATTTCAACAAAGTACAGCATCTTGACAGCAGGTATGGCTTCTGCTGGAATCAAAGTCTGGAATTCTCTTGAGGTGGTAGTGTTCGACCCAGTGAGGTCTTCCCCTATTGCCACTGTTGTGTGCCATTTACCAAGAAGGTACTGCAATTCAGTAAACAAATTCAGTGCCTTTGCTTTACTGGGCACAAAGAACCACAGCTGAGCCACTCAAGGGGTTTGCCCTGTTGGCAGATGTCATCTGCAGATATTTGATATTCTGCAGATATTCCTGTTTACTGAATTGCATGCAGTACCTTCTTGGTAAATGGCACACAACCGAAGCCCTTGAGGGCAGAGCCCATGAGTTCTCTAGAAGCAAAAAGAATTAAGGCCCAGAAACTGAAGGTGGCTGAGCTCTTTGGACTGTGGGCAAATTCTGAAGACCATCCTTCCATTTCCTCTGGTGGCAGCAGGCCTTTGGGTCAGCAGGCCCTGGAGCAACTTCTCACACTTTAACATGCTTATGAATCATTTGGGCATTTTGTTAAAATGCGGATTCTGATCAATAAGTCTGGGATGAGGCAAAACATTCCCATTTCTAATAAGTTCCCAGGACACACTTTGGGCCTTAGGCCCAGGCTATGAGGAGCCAGTCCTTCCTGGACCCTCTTTTCAGATTAGAAACTACCAGCTGCAGGTAGGTAGGTAGGTAAGTAGATAGAGAGACCCACATGGCCTCCACAGAAAGGACTGGGAAGTTGATGAGGTCTGAGTTGTAGGCAGGGAAAGAACACAACTCCTTCTATGTGCAGCAAAAATCTGAAAGAAGGAGCCAAACCTTGTCATGACTGGAGAATAGCTTGACCTAGGGAAGGGCTGGGGCTGCTTAGGAGCTCTTCTTCCTCAGGAGTGCCAGGGACAGCAGAGTGTAGCCTCTCTTAACTATGAATTCTCCATATGACCATGATGTCAGTGGCAGCTAATAGTCTGAATGCCCCACATTGGACTAAGCTTTCTACCAGTAATCCTGTGAAGAAGGGACATTTTGCCCTATTTTACAAATACCCTCTGAGAGACAGACCATGTTTTATTAATATATGTATCCCATCCCCAGCACAGTGACCCATCAGTAGCAAGTATTCAGTATATAATTAGTAATGAATGAATGAATGAAAGACTAAAGTGCTGCTCCGTCCAGGCAGGGGGTATTACATGGGGCCAGACTCAGAAACCCAGAGAAACAAGGCTCCCAGTATCTGAAGTCACCTCCTAACTCCCCACCAGAACCAAGCAGGACTTGAACAGGGTGTCCTGGGAATCTGCCACAAGCCTTCACTTGCTGGAAAATATGTGATCGTCAAGCCCTTTATTCCTCTGGGATAATGCTTCCCTAATTCTTTTTGGAAAATTCCAGACCTGCCTGCGGTAATAATAGTGGAAGGGGAGGCAGGGCCTGGCAAAGTTTAGGGCAAGGCAAGTACTCATTATCCACATGGCCTATCCACGGAGCTCTTGCCCCCTGCGGGGTTTTGTGCCAAGTCCATCACGTGCTTTCATCCCAAAGCAGCCTTGCTGGGATCTAGGGTCCTATTCTGGTTCAAGGTCGAAAACGGGATTCGGATCCCGATAACCACACCCATGTCCAGGGGACAGCGCCCCCTAGGGCCGAGGCGAGGCAACCAGATGGAGCCGAGTGCGGATAGTCCCTGCCCTGCTTACAGTAAAAAGCCGAGGAGGGGAACCAAAGGCGCCAGCTGTCGGTTTGCGAGTGCAGGTTAGGACGATCACTGGATTGTTGGTGTAGGAGTTTTTCTGCACTTCCTACAACATAAATCTGCAAAGTCTCAGAAGAGGAAATTGTGGTCCCCATCCCCACTCAAACCCCGTTTATAGACAAAGGAAAGAGAACAGAAGAGAAGGGGATTTGGTCAAGGTCGTAGGGCTAGTCGGCTGCAGGACGGGGTCAGAATTCCGGGAGTGGCCGCAGGCATCCGCTCATCCACCCTCGCCTCCCGCCCCATCCCGGGCAGAGGGTGCTCAGCTTCGCACGCACAAGCTAACTAATGAGTGACGACCATGCAACCATTCAGAGGGGCCTGGGGTCGATCGAGGTCACTATACCGCGTGGCGCCCTGAGACGCAGCAGAGGAGCAACTTGGGACTGGAGGCTCTAGAGCAGCCGGGATCCTTGTCCCTCGCGGACGCCGGGAACCCCATCTCCGGTCGTAAGGTGACCGAAGAAGGCAGCTGATCCTAGTAGGCGGGCGCTGCATCGGGTACCCAGCTGGATGCAACCTGGACGCGGATTCCCAGTGTCCTGGCCAGACAGCTCCACGTTGTGCAACTTCGGCGCTTGCTCTCGGCGCTCGGCGGGCGGGGCCGGGGCAAAACAAGGTGTTGGAGGCCCGCGCAGACTGCGACTTCCGCCCGAGTCGCTCGGAGGTCTGGACTGCAGCCACCGGGCGCTGGGAGCCGGGGCTCACTGGGGCAGCCGGAGCGGCAGGGGCTCCGGTGACTCCAGCTCCAGATAAGTCCGCCGCTTCTCGGGTCGCTTAATCTGACTCCCCATAACTCCGGGTCCCTATCCCACTCCTTCTCAGTTCTTCCTATTGCCTGTTCTCTCTCTCCCCCAACCCCCTCCACCCTCTACACTCAGTACTCAGTTCCAGAAGCTGCTATGCTGCCCGGATTGCTCTCCACTTCCCGTTGATCAACACTACACACCATCCCCAAGATCCAGTAGCTTTTTACTGGCAGACAGAGGCGTTCTGGGTTGATTCTGTACAGATTTGATGATCAATAGCAAGAGGAGGTCCCAGATCCAGGCCAGGAGGCAGGTGAATGAGAGGCTACATGGAATTGCCCAACTTAGGCTCACAGCTCCCACCCTCAAAGCTATAAAGACAGGAAAGTGATCCTCCTTTGTCTCTAGTGAGGACAGTCCCTGGAAGGCTAGGGGCATCAGGAGTTTTGCTCTTTGCTGCAGGGAAGCCACCTAACTGGGCAGCCAACCAAAGGGCAGGACTTTCTGCAGGGGAAGGGAGGGCAGCTCTCCTACATAACAGCTATGTAGGCTGTCCCCCTGCCAGGCGACCCAGGCAAAGGGGGTCAGTGTGGAAAAGGTCAGAGTTCTGACAGGGAAGTTTTATAGGGTGGTGGAGTCCCATACAAGTAAGGGACAGGGGACTATCTAATGAGCCAGAAGAAGCAGGCCAGCAGTGCAGAATAAACAGCCTAGAGCCCAGTTTTCATTGACTGCATTCCAGCAGGCTGGGCCCAAAGAAGTAGGACTTTCTCTACACCCTTTAGGGTTAGGTGCCAGGTGTGAGAGCTTTTCTCCCTTTCCTGCCTCCTGGTGGGCTTCAGGTGAGTATGAAACCACAGCCCTCCCACCCCAAACTGTGACATCAGGTGGAAACTGATATTGTCTCATGGCATTTGGGGTGCCCTAGAACCCTGTCTGCCAAGAAGTGATGGCTGATATTTATGCCCTGGCTCCACTCTGATCTCAGGGAGAATATCTCACCATAAATTGGCATGCCATGGCAAACAATTAAAAGAGAAAAATAAACCTCAGTGCAATCTCAGGGTGCTTGGAAATGAGGAATTACAAGGTGGTGGCATGAAAAAATTATATAAAAATCTATTTTTACATCACAATAATGTGCTTTTATATGGGTAGTAATTTCTGGATGTGCAATAAAGTGGCTTTTACATCAGGCAAAATCAGAGTTTATAGGCAATCGGTGCTTTTATCTGGGAAAATATAACTCATCCGTCCTCACACCATCCATCCTGCAGGCAGCAGGCCTCATCTTCCCCAGCCCCGTCATTATTGCAGAATAATTATGCAATTAAAATGTCAGCCCTCTGGCCCCCCAGGATCTTTGAACCTCATCTCCCAGCTGCTATCATTGGCTCCTTCCAAAGGTGGGACAGGCTGTGGGCCCAGACAGGCAGGCAGAGACCGATGCTATTTCCATTGGCCCAAGGAGCATCCTGGTGAGCTCAGAGAAAATAGGGCCAGCAAAGAGTTCCACCAACACTGAGAGCCTGCTCTACACTGCGAGGAACCCAGTGGGATCCTGTGCCTGGCTTCAAGAGCTCACAACCTCGTCATGATACAGCATGGGGATTAAAGCTATGGCAGAGGAAGTCAGGGGGCCAAAGGGACATAAAGGAGGAGCCTGAGTGGGTGGGGTAGAGAGGGAAATGGGTGGCACTGACCTGAAGCCATCTGGGGAGGGGGCACAGGAAAGTTGAAGTTATGAAGATAAATGTGTCCTAGAGGGGAGTCCCCAGCTCAGGTGTTGCTTCTGACTGGGGCACTGAGACAGGCTAACAGAGGACTTGGTAGCTGTCCTAGTGTGCAGAAGGCTAGTGCTGGAACTGTCCTCAAATATCATCCAATCTAGCCCATCATTTTGTGTATTCCTTTAAACATCAGACAATGTATCATCAGCCAGAACCCCTCAGAAACAGGTGACATTCCATTCAACAAAGGAATAAGCACGAAGGGGAGTCAGCAGAAATTATGGAAATCGTCAAGAGATGGAGCAGCAGCCCAGAGATGGCAAGACAAAGGAGCTGTTCCCACCCACACGCCTGAAGGGGTGAGGTGGGGACAGTAAACAGAACAGAACCTTCCATGAGAAGCTGTGTACAGAAGCCAACGGTAGGTGACCTGGCTCACTGTCTCTGAAAAACTGAGAAAAGAAGGGCTAAAAGTCTGTGACATGGTTTGATAAGAGAAGGCACTGGAGGAGCAAATCCCTACTTCACTCTCCTCCTGCGGCACAGTGTCCTGCTAGTGCCTCTTGATGCCTTCAGTGGCCACCGTCAACCAGAAGCCTGAGAGGAGCCACCGGCCAGCTCAGCCAGCAGGCAGATAGGGTGGAGAGCTCATCCGAATGTGCACACCCAAGACCCCCAGCACCACCACAGATCGGGGTTTACTGGTCATTTTAAAGTGGAGTGGCTCATCCTGGGTGAAGGGGCATAGCTATGTAGAGCAAACTTGTAGGTTTTCTCTTCTTACCAGAACCCACTCCCAGTGACAGCTGTGACACTCTGATGTGACGCCATGTTCTGTTTCACAGCCAAGGAGTCTCTCGGACCCAATGGGAAGGAATTCAGGAAGGTAGTGTTGATGGGATGTCAACCACAGTGGCCATCCTTGGGGTGGCCATCCTGAGCAAACAGGAGCCATGCCTACCCTGTGATCAACATTTCTATTCCTGGCACATGCCCAAAAGGGAACCTTAGTAACATTCATCAGGGGACAGGAGCGGGGACATCTGTGGCACTATTCCTTGAGGTGGTTGGAGATAGGAGGCTCATTCCTGCAAGACTGGATGGGTGAAATGCAATGGAAGCAAACTCCAGGTCCTGCCCAGCAAAAGGAAATTGCTGTTCATGTAGAACATGGAAGAGCTCAAAGCAGAGTTGAGTAGAAAGAGTAAGAAAGAGAATGCCATTGAAAATTCTGAACCAAATACTATCAAAATACACACACACACACATTACCATTTTGCAAGCTCCTGTGCAAACCAAAACACTTTCAAATGGGTGACTTTGAGAAAAGAGAGAAAGGAAGGGAATGGGTTAAAAGGAGACTGAGAAACCAGCCCGTAAATTAAAAAGAAGAGAGGGTAGATTGAGGAGCCAGAGGTCTGGGCTCGGACCACGGAAGCTTTACTGTGAGTGACCTTGGGCCGACATGTCACTCTGTTGTTTTACCTTTAAAATAGGAAGACACAGTAATAAATAGACCCTGTGGCATGTTTATGTGACCGAGGCCTGTCTGAGAGCTGTTCCTGGGTGAATTCCACAAAGGTCTTGGGCCACACAAGAGCAGGACAAGGGGCCACCCGGGCTGCATGGAAGTGGTCCACCAGCAGGCCCGTGCACGCATGTGCATATGGGTGTTGGAGGGACAACACAGTGGGATAAGGTCCAGAGCTTGACAAAGACCCTCAAATCAAAAATAGGTCTCACTGCCTATTGCAGAACTCACAAGCCCTCCTCCCAGCAACCTTGAGACTCCTGATTTTGAGTTGAATTCTCTTTGGTCTGGAAATGTAAAATATACCCCCAGCCGTCCATTGTGCGGGCAGCAGCCTTGGCAGTTTCAGTCATTAACTCCCAAGCTGGCTTAAATTTGTTTCTAGGATCAGCTCTCTGTCCCCTGGAAAGCTAAGAAAAGCAAGCCTAAGGGACCAACACAGCCTGCTAGATCTTGATGAGAGAAAGGAGGGAGCAAGGGGGCACGCGGGTAGGTGCTGGGGCAGACGCCTGGGCTCCTCAGTGAGGGACTGCAGTTGGAATAGGGCCCCAAGTGGATTCAGGAGCTCTGAAGGCAAACATCTGAGTTTTCAGGGAGCTGTCCAGGGTCCCAAGGTGTCTGCCCACCCCTTTTCTCCTTGCCATTGGGGGCATGTCTGGGCTGCAGCAGCTCAGTGGCTTTCAGACCTGGCGGTCTTCCTGCTTGTCACCTTTCTTATTCCCTGCTCTCTCTGCTCAAATGGCACCCCTTCTGGAGGGCTCTATTTCTTCCACTGAATCTCCTTTCTTCATATTTTCTGGCTGTCCTACAGCAGGGGAGGGGAGAAGGACTTGATGCCAACCTTTACTCCGTGCTCAGAGCTCAAACCTTGGCCAAAGTTCTCATCTGCACTGGAGCCAGGAAGTAAGCATCCTAGCATAGAAGAGGCTCTATGGCAATTGGCTTCTTCCAGCAGCCCCATGACCTCTGACCTTATGCTCTCTGACCTCACCACCTTCTAACTATCACACTGCAGCTAGGGGAGCATGTCCATAAGGATCTGACTATAGTGCATTGAATAGTATCCCCCAAAAGAAATATCCGAGTCTTGAACCCCCCAGAATGCTGTGAATGTGACCTTGCTCAAAAATAGTCTTTACAAATGTAGTTAAATTAGCTCTTATCTTTTTCCATCCAGGCTGCTATAACAAAAAAATCGCATAAACTGGATAGCTTATAAACAGTAGAAAGTCATTGCTCGCAGTTCTGGAGGTTGAAATTCAAGGTCAAGGTGTGCTAGGTCTGGTGTCTGGAAAGGGTCTCTCTCTGCTTCACAGGTGGCACCTTCCTGTGCTGCCATCACATGGTGGAAGGGGCAAGTGAGCTCTCTGGGGTCCCTTGTAAGGGATCTGCCCTCATGACCGAATCACCTCTCAAAGGCCCCAACTTTTTAACACTGTCATATTTGGGATTAATTTTCAATATATAGATCTCAGAAGGACAAATCCACAATACTTCAAGTTAGGAAGGACCTAGGGATGAAATCATCCTGGATTTGGGGTGGGCCCCAAATCCAGTAATTGGTGTTCTTATAAGGGAAAGGAAGAGGAGATGGAGATGGAGACAACCACAGACCAAGAGGTCCTGTGAAGAAGGCAGGCAGAGGCAGGGGTTAGAGTTACAGTGCCACAGCCAAGGAACACCAGGAGCTCCCAGAATCCAGAAGAGGTGAGGAATCCCCATCCCTAAGCTTCCCCTAAAGGGAGCATGGCCCTGCTAATTTTGCAGAAAATATAAATGAGACACCAAGCCACCTCATCTTTCCTTGGCCATCAAAAACAGAACCAATAGCCACACTAGCCAGGACAGACGTGGGG